TGCTAATCATAAGATCGTAATGTTATTTTCACTATTTTGGCAAAATATATACTAAAAGAAAAATCAGCCATATAAAATACTATAAGCAAAAAAATCACTCAGTTCCCAAAAGCACAAATTCAATATCTATGGTTAAAACACATCTTTGTACTCACCATAGGTTTACTTCCAACTATCTGCATACAGTGGTCAACGGAGAGGGGTTATGGTGTAAAAAAAAACAAACAGCAACAGTATTAGTAACCTGAGCTTTCCACATAAGTTAAGTGTTTAGTAAAATTAGTAAATAGCTAACCTATGTACATATCTCATACTTCAGATCTAGAGGCTAAAATGAGTATATCCGTATTAATATCTACCAAACTTCAAAAATTTATAAAGTCTACAGACTAGATTCCCAAATAAAGATTATGTTGTATTTGAGGACTTTTAAAAATTTATTATAAAAAGGTCTTGTATACTGAAATTTAAATATCAAGTAATTACAATTATTGGGGTAATCAGGGATCAGCTATTTTATTATTTTTAGCTTACAAGCCCTCAATTTGGGAAAATTAAGTTTTCCCAAATCTTGTTTTTTAATTTCCTTACTATAATAGGCATATTATTAATGTTGAAACAAGCTATTTTAGAATACAAATGCTTCATGTAAATTCATGCACTAAGAAGAGAATTTTAGATTGAGAACTGGAATATTTTATATTGCTATGAACTTATGGCTTATAATATTGCTTTGCATTATACTTGAAAATTACAAAGAAGACAGATTGCTTATAATTCTAGCTTTCTAGGTCATCCCAGCATCTATTAAAAAATCATATTTTCCTATATCATGTGAAGACAAAGACGTATTTTATAGCTAAACATACATATATCATAAGAGGAAACAAGAAAATTTAAAACATTGATTGCAATTCCCTAATTAATAAGCAATGAGAAAATTTCTGAGAAGTAGAATTGGGTTTAGAAAAGCAAACAGTAACTATCATAAACCTAAACATAGTTTTATGCCAAAATCCAAATATAAAATAATTCATTTTTATCCAATTGCTACACTTGAATAGCAAGCAATATCTAAAAAAGGGTGAATACAAAATCTAAAATCATTAATCTGAGAGCAGTTATAAATATTTGCTCTATTTTGAAGGTAGGATTTAAGTTTACAAGTGAAATTTAATAGAAACCCTAGCAAGAATCTTAAATTGTTAAACAGAATACCACAAGATACAAAAAGATAATGACAGCTCCCGAGTCCATTATTTTAGAGATCTCCATGAATTTACAAAGAAGCAGCTTTCTTAAACATTCATTCAACAGACTATTTACAGGCAGTGATTATTTAGTTGAATAAAAGCCTCTTTGGAGTCCTTACAGTGTTCTGAATAGAAAGATATGCTCTTGACCTAAATTATTTTCTCCCACCAAAAAGACACAGATCTTATTATCCCTTGTATATGTAGCACTGATATGAGACTAGAAAAAGAATGCAAGGTTGTCTTAACAACTAAGAATGATCTATACTCAGTGAAACAACTAGAATATGGCTAATTTTATGATTCATTCGATTTGTAAAATAATTGCATTTACTAAAGCACATACAACAAACAGATTAAATTGGTCAAGGAAAGCTAAGAGAAAGTTACACCATATCCTGATGATGTCTGTAAACATTCTTAGAAAGAAAATGATTTATAATGCAAAAACAAAACCACACACACACACACACACACACACTACAACTTTTGACTGCCTGTTAAAAAGGTCAATCTAAAGAAGTCTATAGATGTATTTGGTAACACTACTTTAAATTCTTTCCTATTGACATTTTTAAAATTAATGATAATTTCAAATGGGTCATGTATTTTAAAAAATATATTTCACAAAATTTTAAATCTCAATTTCAAAGATTGATTCAAATTAGAAATAAACTAGTTCCTTACTATTCTAATACAGACATTAGCATGTGGCAAACTAATTAGGATTTTAGTGACTAATCTCTCCTCATAAATATGTATATATGCTATTGAGATATAATATGCACAATACCCTTTAAGTCAATGACAAATTGTGTCTTTCAGGACTATGAATTGTTTTAACAGTGTTTGTAATATTAACAAAGCATGGTGTTTTAGTTCTGAAAACATATGTTGATGTTTTAAAATATACTTCTAGACTATTTGATGCCAAGTACATATACAGAATACATTAGGTGAGTTCCATAATCACGCCTGCTGCAATGAAGAAACCTCTCAATGCATGCAAAGATGGTCCCCTCTATCCCTTAAAAGTTCATTCATTACTGAAAATATTACTAAAGCTACTTTTCCTCTCAAATTCATACAATATAACATTCTCATTATGGGATCATAAGAGGAAAAATAAATGAACCATACATGTCATCTTTATCTTTTAATTTCTTTTACATTTTTGTAATCCATGCTAATCATAGCAAAGTCATTAAACAACAAAAGATTCTAGCTTGCTTTCAAGGTTTGTGTACATATCTGTATACTGTTTATCTCACTTTAGTGTGTTTTCTCAAGAACTGAGGATAATGGCAGATATTTTTTATTGAACTCATATTTTGTTTTTCATGCCTATTAAAAATGACTAATGCAGGCAATAGAGAAATATGCAATTTCTCTTTAATTTGACTTAATATTCATGATTTACATGTGAGTTTAAAATATTATTTCACCCGGTAGTCTATTCCTTAATTTGTTTTTACTTCAAGGTGAAATATTTGACTACTTATAGAGAACTTTCACAAAGACATAGTTACAACCTTATCTACCTAAAGAAATATTTTTATTCAGTGTATCAATACAATAAAAAATTAAGACTAAAAAAATTAGACATGCAAAGCATATTTAAAGTCTAATGAAAGAAAGCAGCATAGAAATCTTAGTTACATATATGTAAACAGCATATATTAGTTTGTAATTTATGTAAATTTTATGATCACAATCCAGAAGAGGTCAAAGATGAAAGCATTGTCATTTGAATTTATTTCTCTCACCTCCAAAACAAAATTACATAAGCAACTTACTTTTTTTTTTGCCAACTGAAAACATAATACTAATTAATGTCTCCTAAGATTAAAAATAAAAACTTTAAAATACACACATGAACAGGTTTACTTTCATCATATTTGACCCATGAAAAATATTAGCAACTAAAATATATAATCTTGAAACTATAATGAAAGTGCTATATACACATCAGGTGCTTGTATGTACACTGAAATAAACAAAAAAAGATGATATACCAAATTGCCACAATACTGACTTCAAGGTTAACACGAAATACAAAATTTTCATGTCTTTTGAAAACATTCAATGTCCATCTTTTAAATAAACAATTCAAGAGAACAGATTCAACATTACCCAATTTTATTAATCTGAAATATGAATAATGAATTAAAATGTGCATTTCATTGGTCAGTTGAAGAGGAAACAAAATGAGAGTAAATGAAAACAAATTCTACAGAGAGTAAAAATCAAAATGTTAAAGAATAAGAACATTGTATAGTACTCATTTTATTCAGTCCTACTTAAAAAAAAAAACAACAAATATGATGGATACCAACAAAATCTTATTGTTAAAGACAACATGATTATTCATATACTAGTATATGTAATTTGCATTCAGATTTAATTATATAGGTTACTAATGTATTTGCCTTTCAGTATTTCAAAAATAGCACTGAATGTACACCATGAATTTCCTAAAGCATTTCACTGTGAACAATACGGAGTGCAAAATGGAGAAGTGATTCATCAGAATTTCAAAGTAAAACCCTATGCATCACCAAATTCTATTGAAAATGATGCTCATGGCAAATTCACTTATCACTTGAAACATATTTCTGCCCTTGGATACCAGAAGCAAATTAAAAAACATGCCATTTGCTCTGCTTTGGCAGAGCTGCAATGCGTTATCTTTAAATAGTTCAGCATTCAGTTTTAACTTGCTTAAAGTACAATATGGAATCAATACAACTGTAGAATTCAGGCAAAATGCATCAGTAATTGCCATTGCAATTATTGTACTGAAAGAGAATTAATAGGATAGCCAAATAAATTTACAATGTATTTTTCCAGCAAAAAAACTATTTTCTTCATTGGTCAACTTTGTAAATTTAAAATATGCATGTTTTGAATATAAATTATTGTTTGTGTGGATATGTATGTACATGTGTGTATAAGCATGTGTATGTGTATATATATTATCACACAGTTATTTTATTAATTTTAGATGGGCAAACCTTTTTCTTTACAGAAAGGTAAGATACATTTAACTATCTAAAAATTACATTTTTTCTAACAAAAAGAAAGCAAACCTAAGACAATTTTTGGTATCCTAGGAGGGAAAAAAGCAACATTATTTTAAAATACTAAGTTTTTCTTGTTAACAAGTCTTTTCAATGACCCCTCATCTCAATTTCCATTAAAGACCTTATTAAAAACTCGCCTTTATATAAAATTAAGCTATAGAGTAATAATTATAAAGCAGTTTATATAGGCAGCATCATATAAAATAATGACAAAACAAGCAAAACCGCATATTAAAAATGATGGTAAAAATTTATGGAAGCAGATACCAGACATGTAATTTTAATGTAAAGTTAGTTAAAGGTTGCATTTATAATATACTTGTATCTTTTTCCTCAAAATGAAAAATGTTCATATAACAAACTATATGACATGGAATATCTGCAAATTGCTCTCAATTTCCAGTAAGTATACAAAACCTCTACCCTAAAACCCACTGGATTAACTCAGAGCTTTCTATCCTTAGTCTGTTTTGTTTATAAAACTACAAGTCAAGTAAGAACAGTTTTGAAATGTATACTAACCATGTAAAAAAAATATATAATATTTTTCTCTGAATAGTATATATGAGAACACTTAGACCAGAATAAATATTGAAGGGTTGTTTATTTTTAAGTAGATAATGATAAGTGCATTATTTTGGTGTTGGAAATTCTCACTACTTACAGATTTGGCAGTAGTAGAAATATACTGAACAACCATCTCACGCTTGGTTGCAAAATCTTTGTTTCGTAAAGGAGTTTTCCGATCCTCATTAAGGTTCATGTCCTCCTGTTAGAAAAAACATTCACAGTGAGCACTGATAAATTTCTACTTAAGAGCTTCAAAAGTGACTGATATATTAACATATTCTGCCTTAAAATAGTAAGTCATGCTGTGACTAACAATAATTTTTTATGGATACTTTACTATTACGTTTCACTCTTCATACTATAATTCTGTGAATCTTTTACCACATATGCATGCCTCATGTCTACCTAGTCAATTAATAAGCAAAAATAAAAATATTTAAAAAACTATTCCATGGAATAAATTGACAGTTTATAGCATCAACATTCATTATATAGGCTTAGCAAACTAACTTACCTTGATAACAAAAATAAACACACACTTTAGTAGTATCTGGCATGTTTTCCCTCCTTAAGATCACTATTACTTAGAAAAACAAACATGATTCATAAATTAACAGGAAATATGTACCTATAATATGTCACTGAAGAAAAAAGTCATGAGTAGTTCATGAATTTCAAAAAGAAAAATATCAGAAGTAAAATTAGTTGGATTATGGTAACAAAAATCATTATATTTAATTATAAAAACACATTGTTTTATGGTTTAAAAAGTTTTAAATTAGTTGGGAATTTTCCTGTTTTATGACATAGACACATAACATTTTTTTTTAGATTTATTTATTTATTCATACAGAACTGGGGTACAGGCCAGAGGCTCAGGGGCGGTGAGAGGCTTCACCAGAGACAGAGTGGGGAACAGAACAGGCAGATCGATGAAGTACACTGCTGAGGAGAGCAGCGGGCGGGTCAGGAGAGGTCTGCCACGCCATGTGGTCACCTCCGGGGCAGGCGGGAATCGAACTCATGCGGAAGTGGCTTTAGCTTCTCAGTGCTGTGCTTTAACCCGCTGCGCCACCAGGGAGGGCCGAGACACATAACATTTTTAATAGACAAATTATTATTTCATTTTGAAACTCAAGTTAACCCTTGTAACTTCTTAAGAGACTCTTAAGTGGGGTTAACAAAACCAAGTTATTAATAATTATTCTTACAATAATCAATATCATGTTATAAGAAAACCTACAGAAAGTTAAAAATAATTTACAAAGCACAGGTCTTATAATGATTTTGAATCAAAATTATGAAGAATTTGTGCAAATCAACAATAAAAACACAAATAACCCAAATATTATAAGTGGATAAAGGGTATGAATAGATATGTCATTACATATGTAAAGTTTTTTTTAATATATGTAAAGTTTATTAAACACTTACTATAACAGAATACTATAACAGAATATGTTAAGCACTTTATAAACATAATCTTACTGTATTTTAATTTTAATTCTAAAAACAACACAAAACCCGAAACAGCTATTAATATTGGTGGACTTTCCTCTAGTTTTTTTTTTTCCTAATTAGACATTTTAGAACAGTTTTAGATTAATCAAAATTTGTAAGCAAACTATAGGAAGTTCCCATGTACACTGAAGCCAGGTACCCCTATTATTAAAATCCTATTCTATTATTAACTAAAACCTATAGGTTATTTAGATTTACTTAGTTTTCAACTAATGTCCTTTTTCTGTTCCATCTGTGAAACCACATACTAAGTAGCCATCATGCCTCTTCAGACACCTCTCACCTTATAGATTCTCAGATTTTCTTGGTTTCTTACATAGTTGGCATTTTTTGAACAGTACTAGTCAGATATATTGCAGAATGACCCTAGACTGAAATATTCTGGCTGTTTTCTTAACATAAGTCTGTGATAAGAATTTTTTAATGATTATTAACTGGAGTTGAATTCTACAAATTCTTTTGTCTACTAGTGAAACACTCATCATCGTTTCATTTCCTTTAGCAGTGAAAAACACATTATTGTATTTCAAATTCTATATTCTTTATAGTCATAATATAAACCTACTTCATAATAATGTAAGTTTAAAACTGTAAGTTTCCTTTCTCATGTCTTCCTTGTCAGATTCTATTATTGCCTTTGATCACATAAGACAAAAACTTTGGGACAGAGATTTATGTGCAGAAAGTTGACTGGAAAGCCCTTAACAAGATGGTTTTTCAAAATTGCCCCAAATTAATTCATTGGCATGAAATCCAAAGATTCCTGCAAAGTGTCTTAGTTGTGAGAGATAAGCAGCCACTACTAACAGCATCATATTTTGGTCTTGAAGCATGCATCTACATAGTAATCAAAAACATGTTTTCCTTAAAACAGATTTTGGGAGGTTTGCCTTTCATAAAATCTTAAATAATTCATAAAAGCTAGAAGTTGTCAATTCTGCTGCTGGTTTGGGAACATGAATAGACTGGGTGAGGATGGACAGATACTTGACTCCTAAATCAAGTACTTTAACAGCTTTATATCTACTCTACCTCCACCACCCAAATTAATGTTGATAATTGATATTGTCTTAGAACTTTTTAAATTTTATAGAAGTTTTCAGATTTGTTTACATAAAATTACTCATAAAATCCCTTACATAGTATTTTCACTAATCTATAATTAGCCGTGTCTCCTTTTTTGAATTCTCAAATTTTTGTGTATCTTCCCTCTTTCTCAACTTGCAAGGTACTTTTTAACTTTATTAACCTTTTCAAATAACTGTCCTTTGACTTTGCATTTCATCTCTATTATTTTTTTTCAATGTTTGCTCTTATCTTTGCTTTTTTTTTTTCACATTTCTTGGGTTCACTCGATTCCTTTGCTAGTTTGAGTTCTGGGTCTTTACATTTCTATTGTTTTAATTTTTTACTGTTATAGTTATTATTAATGAGGTAATATTAGGTTGCATTATTATTGGTATTTTGGAAGTAGAAGATGCCCCCCTTCAGACATACTTACCATAGTACACCCGCCACCAAATTACACATAGTTCACCACAACAGTGCATTGTACTCTCTTACCTCTTTGCTTTTAGCCCTTTCCCACCCTTCCTACTCTGGATGCTTCAGATTTACAGTTAGCTTTCAAGGGTTAGTTATTAATGTTGGACTTATCTTACCCTTTGTATTGTCTTTATTCCATATATAAGTGACACCCTTATATTACCTTTCCACTCTGACTTATTTCACAGAGCATTATCCCTCCTAGTTCTATCCATGTTGCTGAAAATTACATAGGTTTATCTTTTTTAGATTGGTGAGTAATATTCCATTGTGTGTGTGTGTGTGTCTCATATCTTCTTGATCCACTCATTTTTGGGGGGGTACTTAGGCTATTCCCATGATTATTATAAATAGTACCACAATAAACTAGGAGTGCAAGTTTCACTTAAAATTAGTGTTTTTGGGCCCTCCCTGGTGGCACAGCGGGTTAAAGCACAGCACTGAGAAGCTAAAGCCAGTTCTGCATGAGTTCGATTACCGCCTGCCCTGGAGGTGACCACATGGCGTGGCAGACCTCTCCTGACCCACCTGCTGCTCCCCTCAGCAGTGTACTTCACTGATCTGCCTGTTCTGCTCCCCACTCTGTCTCTGGTGAAGCCTCTCACCGCCCCTGAGCCTCTGGCCTGTACCCCAGTTCTGTATGTACAAATAAATAAATCTTTAAAAAAATTAAAAAATAAATTAGTATTTTTGTATTTCTTGGTAGATACTTACTATTTTACTATTTTGAAAAAAATTCCATACCTCTTTCCATAGGGCCTGGGCTAGTATAAGCCACTATACACTAACAATATAGGAAGATTCCCTTTCTCCATGTCCTTACCACACTTGTTTTCGATCTTTTTTATATGGGTCATTCTCACAAGTATGAAATGGTATCTCATTGTGGTCTCAATTTACATTTCACTTGTAGAAAGTGATGACGAACATCTTTTCATTTGGCCTATTTGCCATCAGCATATCCTCTTTGGAGAAGTGCCTGTGTAGCTCTTCTGTCCATTTTTTGATTGGTTTATTTGCTTTCTTTTTGTTGCATTGTATGACTTCTTTTTATATCTTTGATATTAGTCCCTTGTCAGATATGTGGTGAAAAAATATTTTCTTTCATCAGACATTTCTTTAAAGAATATATGCAAATAACCAATAAGCACATGAAAAGATGTTCAATATTATTCATTATGGAAATATAAATAAAAAGCATAGTGAGATATCATGTTACTCCTATTATGATGTTAAATGTAAAAGCAGATGACCAGAACAAATGTTTGTGAGGATGTAAAGATTGAAACCCATATGCACTGCTGGTGACAATATGAAATGATATAAACACTTTGGAAAACACTCTAGCAGTTCCTCAAGAAGTTACATACAGAGTAATCAGGTAACCCAGCTTATTCTGAAGAGAAATGAAAACATGCCTACATAAAAACTTGTACATAAATATTCATAGTAGCCTCATCAAATTGTGAAAAAGTTATCCAAATGCCCATCAAGTGATGAATAGGAAAAAAATGTGTTATGTATATACAATGTAATATGCATCAGTCCTAAAGAATGAAGACAGTAATAATAGAAACTATAGCAAGGCTGAAATCAGAAATCTTGTTATGCTAAGTGGAAGAGTCAGTTACTAAAGACTAGGCAAATTTATGGAAACAGTATGTGGATTAGCGGTTGCCAGAGGCACACAGAAAGGGGAAAAGGAGGAAGAACAAACAAAACTTAAAAAAAAAAAAACAAAAAAAACAACTAACAGCAACAACAACAACAAAAAAAACATTAACAGCAAAATAGTAGTGGATTTCAATCCTTCAGTTTCATTAATGAACACTAAAGCCAGACAAAATCAGAAGGAAACAGTAGTTTTCCCTAGGGCATTTCACCAGACAGACTTAGGAGATATTTACAGGACACTGAACTTTAAAAAGTTTAACTCATATTCTTCTCAAGCACACACAGATTATCACATGTTGGATCATACAAACACAAAAAAGGTATGAACACATTCATCAAAACTGAAATTATATCAAATACCTTCTCTCATCACAATGGCATTAAACTAGAAATCAACTACCAAAAGAAAGCACGAGAATATAACACATAGCAAATAAACAATATGCTCTGGAATAACTA